CCCAATGTCATACCCATCCTGTCGAATTGTCGCAAACACGAGGCCGGTTAATGGCGACTCCTATGACTGACCACCATTCCAATTTTTAGAACGGGCTAAGGTCCGCAAAGCAATGGAGAATATGCTCCAGAAGGCCGCACTGAAGATCCTCGCCGTGGTCAATCGCGATAAGGATCATATCCCACCCATCACGACTAGCGACTCCAACCCCTTCCCTTATCGCATTGTCCTCAACCCGCGCACAGATGGGTGGCAGAATAGGTTTGGGCTGTATTAAGAGGAAGGCGGAAGGGGGGTCCCACCCTCAGCGGTCTTGTCTGCTTGCATTTGCATCTGCATTGGCTGGGCTACAGATACCCAGGGCATTTTCATCATATTGCTTTCTATCTATCTATTCATTTTCTCTCCCTGGCGGTGTCCGGCACCCCAAGGGTTTTGGTCATGGGCGAGAGTGAAGCATGAGACTTTCGTCTCGCGGTGGGCCAACATATTTAAATCTTGTGGATGTACTTACTATACGATACGACTTTAGGATGATGTTAGTTTCCTTATGACTTGTCTTGTCTTGGCTCTCGACGTTACAGGGCAAATGTGTCATACTCGGAGAAGGAAACCAATCAAAGACGCAATCAACAGTGCTCAAATTACCGAGACATTATGCATCCAATATACCTAGCTAAATCATCCACTACGGCACGGGACTCGATCTATCAACTAGTCCCGCCCGTAGCGTTTCCCGCCCCCTCCATCATGCATCATCCATCAATCACATCCATAAAACGTTCTACTGCCCAAGCAATTCATGACAAAACAAGAGTAACATGACAAAGATTGGCCCAGCCCAGACTCTCCGTTTTCTCCACCACCAGGAGTCCCAAGAACTCCAGGTGCCCTCTTTTCAATCTTTATTCAATCCAGTTCAAAAGAACATGAATCGTCCAAACATATCAAAGAAGACGTCATATCCAACACTCCGCCGGCTGGTTCGGGGTTTTTTTTTCGACCTCCACCTGTCGAGAGCCCTGGGGTCTGATCTACAGTCTATGGAGACTGCAGATCGGCCCCACAGCTGCTCAACTTTCTAAGTAAAGTCTATTTACTGCGCCTTGGTGGCAGCGTCGGCCTGGGCGCGGAGGTTCGCAGAGGTGGAACCGCCCTGGAAGAAGCGGCCGAGCACGGGCTGGATGAAAGAGTGGAAGACGATTTGAGCACCGCTAGAAGAAAGGGTCAGTCAGAGTCGGCTTAGGCAACCCCTAAACAACAATGGGCGGGTTGAACAGGGTGACATACTTGGTCTGGGGCAGAGCCATCCAGAGGACAAGGGCGAACTTGAAGATGTAGTAGAAGGCTGTAATTCGCGCACATTAGTCGTTACTTCATCAATGACCACCACCCCCGAAGAAGAGCAACGGATACGTACGGAACCAGTAGGGGGCGCTGACGGCGCTCTCAAGGACGGTGAAGAAGGCATAAACAACCCAGTACTATGGCACAATCACATGTTAGTTGCTGCTGACGAACAGACGTCACGTGCTCCAAGGTCGGGTGGTCGGGATGGAGAGTATCTCCATCTCGGGACCCATGCCGCCTGAAGCGCGATAAGAGAATGCGATCACGGGGACATACCGTCAACCACTGCAGAAGATTGTCGGGTTAGCATCATTGTCGATTTTTGGTGTAGAAAGATCAGAATTGCAAAACATACCTGCGTGTCGTCGGCCTTACCGGCGGTGAAGAGGGCGTTGAGGGAGTAGTAGCCAGGGATGACAAAACCGGCGAGGTTGACGAGGAATTCACCGGCAATGTTGAAGAAGACGAGGAAGGTGTAGATACCAACCAGGCCGAGGATCACGTAGACCTTGGGGACGGAGGACTGGCGCTCAAGGTTGTTGAGAAGGGGGTACTTGGAGAGCTGAAGAGGAGTTCCCACAAAAAGGGAAGATTAGCTTCAGAAATATCAAAACATGGTAGGAGCTTCATCCCTCGGGGATGGGAAAAGCAGCAAAGCAAACAACAATCACACAAATCAGAGCAAATAAAGCTTGAGATGTCGCAGTTCACACAAAGCAAGACACGAATGAGGCCGAAGCCGACGCACACACGACACTTACCTCCTTGTCGAGCTGGGCAATGGCGTGCTGAGCACGATCCTGGAAAGAAGCCATTTCGGATGGATTTGACAAGCTGATCTGAACAACTACGATTAGATCGAGGTATTGTGAGATGGAAAGTTGAAAGTTTGGGGAAGGTTTTTGGGGGATTGGAGGGGGAAGAGTACGAACAAGGTGGTTGTGAAGGAGAAGAGTCGAATCGTTATCAGTAGGCAGGATGTTTTTGGCAGAGCTGGTGGAAGAGGAAAGGGAAGGAGAGGTGAGATTCAAAAGGACGAGCTGGCGGTTACGGAATGGAAATCGGGCCTGTTTCCCCAATGACGGTGCGTCACATCACGTGATGATTCGCTCATGACGTCGAGGGCTTTGAAGAAGCCCAGATGACGTGGTGCTGGGAGTCCTTCACTTCGGCGGAACTTGGTCTAGAAGCCTCGATATTAACGATCATGGTTCGTTCCCTGGGGAGCTTCCTAGCATCATATGGGCCCTTTCATCTCGTTGTTTTTCTTACCTCCTTCTTTAGGATGAAAATGTGTATCAGCGACCCTCTCGGCAGATGCGGTGTACATACACTACAATACGGATAGCTGCGGAAGACGATAGCGTAATAAAAGGTATGCTTCTCGTACGGTATCGTATGGATATGCTACGCTGCAAATCTATTAGCTTCTGCTGCAACAACAAATGGCTGTAGTTTGGACTATCTATAATCCCCATGCCTACCTCATACTCATATTATGCATGGTACTACTGTAGCTCTCCAGAGTTCCAATTAGAGATAAACCAATAATCTCCTTCCACGCATCACTCTGCTATATCCCAGTGTTCCCCCAACCACTGTACTACTGGTGTTGCAGCTGGGGCCAGCTTGCATTTGCAGTCCCCAATCGAACAATCCAGAAGAGTAGCGACCGATCAAGGCCCGCATTAGTACCCAAGCTAGGCTTCGACTAGGAGAAGAAGCAATAGATCTATCTATACATAGATTGGTCTGATCTGGATCTGCCACCAGGGATGTGCAAGGAAGAAGATCCAATCAGTTATTCCTCCCTTCATACGTGGCTACTCCGTACATGGTAGTCCGTACGGTACAATCCCCTCTCTGTAGAGCAGGCTCCTACGTAGAATGTGCTACAGAGTATCACTCCGCCCGTCGAGCACCATTTCCTATGACGAAACCACAATCAGACAACAACTCATACATTACAAAGGACTACATTGACTATGGCTAAACCACAAAAGGACGGAGAATCCAAGTTACAACCAAAGCCATCATCCTCCGAGAGACGCGTGGTTTAGCCGCTTTTGCCCTCAAGCCCAACGACCCGAGGCAACGGTCGTTGCAGAAGTCGTAGGAGGAAAAAGGGGGGAAGGAAGGGGAAGAAGAGAAACGAAAATGGAACATGTCTTCGACCAGGCTCCCAATCCAGATATCCTTCTCAGACAGCAGAAATGATTTTGTGGGGGGGGGGGAGTATGAAATTCATGTCGTTGTAAGTGACTGCAGGAAACAGAAAGAATAAGAAAAAAGAATCAGGAATCGCTCGTCTTCAAGCTGGAGAGCATTGCGCCATCGACCGTCGTCCATCCGCAGCCACCAAAGTCATGTAACGCCGTCCACGGAGCCAAATATCGGAAGAGGGCATGTCAAGAAACACAGAAGGGTGAAAATAAAAGAGGCGAATCAAAACAGTATAGAAGGTAATGTGCAATTAAGCAAAGGTTTTTGCAACACATTAAAACATATCGGAAATCAGCCCACTATATCTGCAAAGCGTCTATTAGCGGTTCATTCATCCTCGTTCACACCACTGCCGCTAGTCGGTCCCATGCTGTCCCGATTGCCGCTGTTGAAGGTCAGCTTCAGTTTGGGCGTTGCAACAGGACCGGGTGTGTCGGTGCCCGAAGCCGCAGCGGGTTGCTCATTGCCACCTAGGTCGTCATAATTGGCGAACTGGGGATGAGCTTCGGTTTCCTTCTTCAGTTCGGATAGACATTTGGCCTGTGTACTGTTAGCATCAATCCACCTCAAATTGACCTGTCGCAAAATATCTCACCTCGATGTCGTTGGCATCTTGAAACAGGATGCTGCCGTCCTCATTGTATGTTCGAGCGTTCTGACACAGAAGGTGGATGTCATTACGGAAGTCCTTCAGGTTCTGGTACTCGTCACGGTTGATCTTCTTCTTGATCATCTCCATGGCGATCGGGTTCTGGATGATCATGTAGTAGTCAGGATACTGCGACTTGGGAGGCGGCTTCATGAAAGGTTCGATGATAGACCGGGTCACGGGCCCGTCCTCGCTGTCCGAGGAATCTGCTGGCAACTCCTGCTCCATGTCCATCAATGCCTGGTAGACATGGTTAACGATGCGCTGCAGAATAGCGCGATCCTCGCTGCTCAAGGTTTCGATGGGTTTGGCTTGTCTTCCTCTCTTTCGCTTGGGCTGAGGCGTTTCTTCCACAACCTCCTCTGCCTTGCGCTTGGGAGCAGGTCCGCGGCGACGTTTCTTTGGTTGAGGGGCTTCCGAGCTCTCCCGCGACGGTTCCGGTGAGGATTCAGCACCTGCCTTCCGACTGCGCTTCTCCTTGTTGATACGACGGCGCTCAACTCTGGCCTCCTTTCTGGCGATCGCATCTTCGATGGTATCGTCATCGGCATCCACAGCCATAAGCCATTGTTCTTCCGTGAGACCATCGTCGTAGCGGGTCACCTTGCGTTCACGTGCACCACGGCCACCCAGATCAACCTCAACTTCTTCGGTGACCGGGTTTTCTTCAGTGAGATAGATATCCGGCAGTTCTTCTTCGCACATGAGGCGAGGGTATTTGTGGCCAGGACCGTATGGGGTATTCTTTTGTCGCTCCTTGTCAATACGCTGGAACGTGATCAGTTCTTCGTCCGATCGTGCCATGATATCGTTGAGGTCATCGTCATCCATCTCCTCCTGGTCACCGATTTGATCAGCGGCCTCCGCCGTCTCCAGCAGTGTCCGCAAGAGTGCGTCACGTTCTTCGTTGGTTGACTTGTTATCGAACTTTCCTGCCTGAATGACTTTGCCGTCCATATCAAGCTTGAACTGTGCACGTTCTAGGATTTTTTCTTCAACTGAGTTGGAGCTGATGAGACGCAGAATACGAACTTCGTTCTTCTGACCAATACGGTGAGCTCGATCCTGTGCCTGCAGATCCTGATGGGGATTCCAATCGGAATCGAAGATGATGACGGTGTCAGCGGTCTGGAGATTAAGACCAAGACCACCCGCACGTGTTGACAACAAGAAGCAGAAGTACTCGGAGCCTTCGGCGTTGAACTTCTTCAGAAGATCCGACCGATCATCGGACTTGGTAGAACCATCGAGACGGAGATATTTCAGGCCACGAAGGCGCAAGAAATCCTCCATAATGTTCATGATCTGAGTCATCTGGAAAAACATCAAGACACGATGACCAGTGGCACGGAACTTGGGCAAGATTCTGTCCAGTAGTTCGAATTTACCGGCCGTACGCCAGAGTAGATCGTTGGTTCCGCGTCCAGGGTTCATCTGATCTTCAACAGGCTCGAAAACAAATGGATGGTTACAAAGCTTTCTCAGCTGCATCAACATGTTACTGAGACCACGCATACCGGTCTTACCACCCTTGCCATCACTGACGGCCATTTTGTTGTGGGTGACAAGCTGCCTATAAAGCTTGGCTTGCAGAGCAGAGAACCGACACTTGATGACTCTTTCTTGCTTATCGGGCAGATCCTTCTCGACATCCTTCTTCAGACGTCGGAGCAGGAAAGGTCGAAGAACCTTGTGCAAACGACGAATAACGAGCAACTGTTCTTCTTCGCTGAGTTCCATGCGATCTTGTCCACCCGTGTTAGCGAACGGTGTATTGAACCACTCGTCAAAGGATTTCACAGATTTGAAGATGTTCGGCAAGACGAAGTTGAGTAGAGCCCACAGTTCTGGGAGATTGTTTTGCAAGGGAGTACCGGTCAGAATCAGACGATAACGGCTAGTATAGTACTGCGACAAAGTACTGCTCAACTTCGACTGCGTATTCTTCATACGATGACCTTCATCGACAATCATGTGAGTCCACTTGATCTTGCTCAGAATCGGGCGATCCTTGATGATGTATTCGTAGGTGGTCAGAAGGACCTGGAAATTGCCCCAGCGGATCTGATTTTGCTGCTGTTTGCGCGCATTGGGGGGGCCCTTGTAGACAACCCTCGAGACCGAAGGTGCCCATTTCTCAAATTCCAGGTTCCAATTGGTGAGGGTACTGAGAGGAACAATGACGAGGAAAGGCCCATTGTTCTTCTTTCTCTCAATGATGTAGGTGATCAAACTGATGGTCTGAATGGTTTTTCCAAGACCCATCTCATCTGCCAGGATACCATTGAGGTTGTTGTTGTAAAGTGAGATCATCCACTGCAGACCCTTCATCTGATACTCTTTCAAAGTACCGCCAACAAGGATGCTTGGCTGGACAGTGACTTCTTCTTTGATACGATGAGCAACAGCATAGTAGTCAATTTTCTTTCTGCCATCGCCCTCGTCTTCACTTCCAGAAGCAATCTCTTCCTCCTCTTCCTCCTCCTCGAAGAACTGATCTTCTTCACCATAACGCTCAGCAAGACTGCGCTGTTGCTCCCGCACGGAGGCAGCAAGCTGCTTGAGGAAGTTGTCGGTCTGTTTCAACAGGTGAGAGATACGAGAATCCTTGGCTTGTCCGAGCAATTTCAAGTAAGTCTCCTCATCGTTAGCCTTCAAGGCTTGGAGACGTTGCTTGGCAGTACGCTCGACACGTCTCTGCTCCTCACGCTCCATATGTTGATGGTGTTGAAGCATCATCCGACCCAACTTCTGCGCACGGGTGCGCTGCTGAGCAGCAGCATTTTGCAGTTCCGCGCCGTGGTTGAGGATGGCCTGGAGATGATCGTACTGTTTACGCTTTTCTCTGGTTTCGCGCGCATCGCGTTGTTGCTTTTCCAGCTTCTCTGTAATGCGGGCTTCACGCAAGTTCTGCTTCTTCATCCGGCGATGGCTAGAGCGGTTCGCCGTCATACCCAGATTATCAAAGTGAAACATTTCGTGCTGCATCTGCTTGCGAAGAAGCTTCTGTTTAGGCAACAAGCTGAGCATCTTATACTCAATCAAAGCTTTCAGCTTCAGGGAATCGTCGCCCGTGGCAGTGTCACTCTGGCTAGAGTCCCAGACACCGAGATTGGCCGGA